GCTTCTCTGCATAACTATTTTTCTTCCACGTCTGTCTACTTGTGCTTTTCGCCGACTCTGTTTCTTCTTTAGGTATGTGTTGTGATTTTTCTTATACACTCTCATGGCTGCAGTTTTATCTTGCAAACATCGTTTCTCTCGGTATTTGGCTGCAATTATTTCTCTTAAGATACTATCTTCACCTGTCTGTAACGACTCTTTTATTTTGCCTTCTTATGATGATGTTGGTGATTGTACTTTTATTTGTAAGTCATGTTCAACTTTTTTTTTTGGTTTGATGAAATGGTTAACTATTTATCACTCCCAGATTATCCTGCTTATACACGTTGTTGTAGGTGTGGGTCTGTCGTTTTGCCATATCCACTTGTGCCTCCTGATTTGTTATTGGCTTTCTATGATTTTCCCCCTTTTATGAAAAACATAAGGGGTTATAATAATATGTTTAGTATGACATCTTTCCGGGGTAAGGTCGATGAGGCTATTAATAATATCGGTGGTCCTTATGTGTTCAAAGTCTCCGGTCAGGTTTGTCAATGGATAGGTGCTTTTGGTGTGGTTGATGAAAAGGGGACTAAGTTTTTACAATTATATATAGTTGATACAAAACATGAGCTGCAGAATAGGCTGTCTGCCCTTCAAGAGACTGAAAATCAGACGTTGGATCCAAAAATTGTTCAAAGTCTTATGGATATTTTTACAATCCATAATTGCAAAAGATATTGCTGCTGAGAAGAAATTGGTTGAGTATGCAGTTTGTCTATTTAATGATGTTCCTGATCGTCTATATGGTCCTCCGGCTCCTGGTACATTGGGTTGTATTGTTGTTGGTGAAGATGTAGTTGGTAGTACATACAACATAATTGTACATTCTAGAAAAGGACCTCCGCGTAGGATTAGTAAACTTCATCCTAGCTACATGCCCTTGCAGTATCCTATATTGTTTCCGTATGGTGAGGCAGGTTGGTCCCCACGTTTGAAGCTTTATAATGACATGAGTACTAAGGTTAGGAATCTGACTGTTAACATGTACTACAGTTATCAAATACACGCAAGGAATGGTATATACTCTCTTTTGTTGAATTCACGTAGATTGTTTCAGCAATATTTAGTTGATGCTTATGCCTGTATTGAGTTGTCACATCTTGAGTTTTATGAACATAATCAAAGCCAACTAAGATCAGCATATGTTAGTGGTATTTATGATGCAATATCACGTGGTGATACTGAAAGTCGATCTATTGGCAAGCGTGTGCTTCTGCCTCCATCTTTTGTTAGTGGTCCGCGACACATGTACAGCCACTATCATGATGCTCTTTGTATTTGTCGGGAGTATGGGAATCCACAGTATTTTATAACCTTCACATGCAATGTTGGGTGGCTAGAAATTACACGTTACATGAATTCATATTACCAATCTGATGTTGGCAGCAGGGATGACATAATTTTGACGTGTTTTCCGTATGAAAGTTGATGCGTTTATTGCAAACCTAAAATCTAATAAAACTTTTGGACCTGTTTCAACATGTAAGTTACTATCTGACGAAAATGTAAATACTTTTTCCATTTTTTTATAAACAAAGTTTCTTTATTCATACGCTTATATTTATATTGGTATTATTTACTTATTTTTCCTTTTTTTTCATGCAGACTTATATTCCATCGAATTTCAAAAAAGGGGTTTGCCACATTGTCATGTGCTGATATGGGTAGTAGATTCTCATAAGATAAAGGAACCTTCAGCAATTGACAAATACATTACTGCTGAATTACCAAATCCAGTTTCTGAAGCAATCTTATATGGTATTGTTACAAGATATCTACTACATGGACCGTGTGGTTTGCTAAATAGCAAGGTGCCTTGTATGAAGGATGGTAAGTGTAAGAAGAAATTCCCAAAGACATTTCTTTCTACTACAGTATTTGATAAGGATGGTTATGCGCATTATAAAAGAAATTCAGTATCTGTTCATACATTACCAAGTGGTATTCAAATAGATAACAGGTACATAGTCCCATATAACAAAAGGTTGTGTTGTCGTTTCAATGCACATGTCAAAGTTGAGTATTGTGGTTGGAATATGATGATCAAGTATTTGTTCAAGTATGTTTCAAAGGGAATGGAACGTGTTAGATTTGTAATTCATAAAGACGTTCAATGTTGTGAGGCTTCCACTTCTGCAGAGGGTATGGTTGTTGATGAGATAAAAAATTACATTGATGGGCATTTTCTGTGTCCTCATGAGGCTGCATAGCGTATACTTGATTATCCTATTCACGAGCGCGATCCTCCTGTTGTGATTCTGCATGTGCATTTGCCGAATATCCAGTCGGTTTTCTTTAAAGAAAATATCCATCTTAAACTGGTTGTAGAGGATCCCAGCTTTGGTAGTAGTTTGCTGTTAGGTTGGTTTGAAAAAAATAGGTGGGATGCATCTGGTCATAATCTTACATATGCCTCTTATCCTACCAAATATTGGTGGGACAAAAGGGCAAAAAGTTGGAAAAGAAGAAAACGTTCAAACTCCCATGCGCTTGGCAAGCTTATCTTTGTTCATCCAACAGCTGGAGGATTATTTTTCCTAAGGATGTTACTTTGTCATCAAAAAGGCTGCAAATCTTATGAAGAGTTGCGTACTGTTTCGAATACGATGTATTCTGATTTCCGTGGCGCCTGTGATGCATTAGGTCTAATAAGGGATGATAGAGAATGGATGGATTCTTTTATCCAGGCTTCTGAATGGGCAACATCACCTTAACTACGTTCTCTGTTTTGTTATCTTCTCCTTCTCTGTGGTGTTAATGATCCGATGTCTTTATGGTGCATTGGGTGGAGGAAAATGAGTGATGATTTGGTGTATGCTATTAAACTGTCAAATCCCAGTCTTGAGGTAAATATAGATGATTCTCATGTATAGTAGTTGGTTTTATTTGAGCTTGATCACCTGCTTAAGTCATCAACGCCTTCAAGGTCTGTTGTTGATTTTCACCTGCCCAAACTAACAGAGGATACCGTAGGTATGTTAAAAAAATCGTCTGTACCTATAAGAAACAACATATGATAAAGTCGTACTTACTTTCAGTCATGAGCAGATGTTGTTATCTCTGAATCATTAACAACTTGAAATCTACAACAAAGTTCGATATGCAGAAGAGAGACAAGAACAAGTGATTATATTTGTTTATGGCCATGGAGGAACTGGAAAAAATTTCTTGTGGAATACTTTGCTTGCTTATTTCCGTTCAAGAGGAAAAATAGCATTTGGTATTGTTGCTTCAGGAATAGCATCTCTGCTCCTTCCATCAGGAAGGACTGCTCTTTCTAGGTTCAATATTCCAATTGACTTTTAAGATAGTTTTGCGTGCAATATTAGAAAGCGTACAATGCTTGCTAAGCTACTAAAACGTACTTCTATCATTATATGGGATGAGGCACCAATGAGTGATAGACGTTGCTTTGAATGTCCGGATCGGTCTTTAAGAGATATCCTTGAATGCGAAATGAAACCTTTTTGGTGGTATGTCAATGTTATTAGGAGGTGACTTCCAACAAACATTTCCTATCTCTCCAAAGAGTACACCCTCGGAAATAATTGCTCTCACCTTACCAAACTCATACTTATGGCCATATTTTAGATTACATAAATTGAATGATAATATGAGGCTTAAAGGCTCTTGCAGTTCATCAGAAGCATAATTAAGTGTGAGATAGTTTGCATCTTGGTTACTAAAAGTTGGAGATGGAGTCATTGGTGAAATCGATGCAGTTGATAGGAAAAATACTAGATGGATTGAAATTCCTAATTCACTTCTTATTCCTCGATCAGAAAACGAGTTAGATGTCCTTATAGATTTTGTTTATGGAGATGTTCTTCAAGTAAAACTTTCGCCTACTGTCTTATCTGGTAGGGCAATAGTCTGTCCCAAAAATGAGACGATCCAAATAATAAATGACATGGTTCTACACAAAACCCGTGGTCGTTCAAAGATTTACGAAAGTGCTGATAGTATTGAATTCAATGGCAAGCAAAGTACATAATTTAGCAGTTTCTATCCATTGGAATATCTGAATGCCCTCACCTTCCCTAGCATTCCTACACACTCACTGTCATTAAAAATTGACACACCCATCATGCTGATTCGTAATATAAACCAAAAAGAAGGTTTATGCAACGGAACACGATTAATGGTTTCACAATTATTGCCAAATGTAATTAAGACATTAATTATTACCGGTACCTGTGTCGGGAAAAAAGTTTTTCTACCCCGTATTAGATTTATCCATAAGGCTCCTGATATGCCATTTACCTTCATAAGAAAACCGTTTCCGGTTAAAGTATGTTATGCTATGACCATTGACTTTGCAATCTTTTAAAAAATTGGAATTTATCTACCTGAACCGATTTTCACACACGGACATCTTTATGTTGCATTGTCACGTGCTACATCCCCAAATTCAGTCAAAATACTTATGCACTCTGATGAGAAAAGCAGAAATAACAAAACCAAAAACGTTGATTTCAAAGACTTTCTACAGAAAATTAATAACTCAGAGGTTAAATACATATTTATCTTTTATACTCATATACAACATCTTTTATTTATTTTTATTTGGCTAAATTCAGTAATACATACAATATAATGTTTACTAAGGCAGTAGAAGATTATGCTTTTAATTTTATGTTATTATAACTCCAGATATGTCTCAAATAGCAACAACAATATCAGAGATACACTATGGATGTCCGGGAACAGCAATACAGGTTTATGACTACGTTTCACATGATATCATATTTATATTGTCAACCACCAGCTACATACTTTACAAGAAAACTACTATTTTTTCAATGCTTTTAACTTCGAATATTGCGGATGTGGACTCCACAAATAAGAAGTCAGGAAACATGGTTCTTGGGTGTTGACAAGAATGTAAGTAATTAGATTCCGTTGCAATAATTTTTTTCAAGTTTCTATTTTTAGTTGCTTATTTGTAATGTATTTGTATGGGCGATGCCATCCAAATTCTAGGACAACGAAAGGAACAAGGTTTTGTACAATCTGTCCTTATTCCTAACAGATGCCATACAATTGAAAAATATGGATGTGGAGTGTCAGACTGTTATAAAAAATGGCTGGAAAAAGACGTTTACATAGCTGTTGGGACGACATCATCAATTACATTTGTTCCGGACACGCGCATCATCCCTACATATTGGTTTCATTTCATTTCCAAAAAAACAAATCTCAGATTATGTGGATCAACATGCAGGTTTTCATATCTTTATACATCATACATACATTAAAGACAATTATTTACATGAACTTCTAATAATCAATAACAGATCTTTATGTCCCGTTTAACAAGTTTTAACTTATGTATACTAAACTACTGTTTTCCACTTGCAGACTTTGTTGGTGTGTTTAGCAAACTTATTAATTGTACAAAGAAAGATAAAGAACCATATCTACTGCTGATTCTGAAAAACAATTCGTAAGTATTTGTTTCTTATACTATTATTCTTATAGGATACTAATATATGTCATACCTATAAACATTAGTGGTGATGATATTGCAATAAGTTTGTGGAAAGAATGCACCAACATACCTTCAAAGTTCGATCGTACTTCTCTTGAAAACGCCCCTGCTCTTGTTGTTGTCACTATAAGCAGTGTAAAGATCTCAACTTATGTTGGTAAATCCGTATTATATACTTTTGAAAGTCATAAATACACATAAAAATTTCTCACTTGACTAATTTGCATCTTTTCATTAACACTTAACATAAAGGATCACTAAGACTTGGCACAGGCAACGTAAGTCACTTATACATCAATCCACCAATTCCAGAAACAACAATTCTTATAGACATGTATTTCAACAGATATAAATACAACACAAATCATTGCACTTTCATTATAATCAATTTGTTATGCTGCAGTTATGGAACATTTCTCGACTCACCAGTAAATTTTGAACCGCCAACACTGTTATCAGATGTATTAGAGAAAACTCATTCAGATCTTTCGGTATGTTACATGTCTATTTACATATGAAAACAAAATACAAAATTAATATTTTTTTTCATGCAAATAATAATCAATTTTGTATTGTACAGGACAAAAGTTTCACTGCAGAGTTGTCCACAAGTGAATATATCTCAGACTGTTGGTACCAGGTTCAGTGTCCAAACTGCAAGATTGCAACTTTTAAACAAGGGAAAAATTGGTTCTGCCCTTCAGATGCGATTCTCACTTCTCCAAGTACCACGTAAGCATACACGTCTAAAAAGTCTTATTGACCCAAAAAAAATATAAATTTAAAAAAAAATTAACTTCGAATATGCAAACGTTTAGGTTCAAACTTAGTGCAATCATTACAGATGAAAGTCAGTCTATGATTGTTGTACTTTCCGATAATGCAACACAAGACTTATTCGGTACAACGTCAGACAAACTTATATCAGATGATGACATAAACCACAGAAAACAATTACCTCCAATTGCTGCTTTACAAGGAATTCCCAAGAAAATGAAATTACATATGACTAATACATCAACAGACAACAACATTCGCTTCATTATTACAAATATCGACAAACCCCCTCTGAAGAAAAAATATCCATACCGACACCACCATCACAACATCCAACATCTTCAAAACACGGTGAAAAGGTGTCTACTAATACGTGCTTTACTACACAAAAAAAAATATATTAAATAAAAAATTGAATATAACATCTTACCATAACATACTTACATATCATTTATCACTTTTCTATAATATATGTAAAAGTTCATAAATCATTTTCTATGCTTTTGTTTTCCATACAGACCGATATAAAATTACATGCCTTCTTAGAAATGAAAACATTTTTTATTTATTTCTAATAGCAGTTTAAACCTTTTATCTGCTTTTTTACATTAATTTATAATATAAAAACGAAAATGTATTTTCGTAAAAGGACAGAAAATAACATAAAATTAAAAAATTATAATATCTATGTATTTTACTAAACAAAAAATGTATAGAAAAAAATTCAAAAGAACATTTTGTCTATATAATAATTAACTAGAACTTAATTTTAAGGGGTTGGCTAAATGGACACCCCATTTTACCATTTAGACACCCTATATAATTTTTAAGGTTTTTTCATTGGTAAAAATTACATTGTTTTTTGAAAAAGATGATTAAAAGTAGTTACCTATTAGTTGACTTTTGATAAAGATGTTTATAGGGTGTCTAAAGGGTGTCTTAATAGCAGCACCCAAATTTTAACTACATACGGTGTTGACATTAAAGTGTCCTCGAGCCCCAAATTATACGTAAACATACGTTAGGAGGTAAATTTTTATTAGCTAACCAACTACATACACATGTTCAAACCTTTTATTTAATAACACACTCATCTGCATTACATTAAATTATTAACCTACACTACTCTTACTACAAACAATACACATGCATGTCTACTATGATCTTATCAAGTAGAGCCTACTATAGCTTTCATTACCAATATAAGACATTACAACGCACGCCATCTTATAGCTTGCTTTACAACAGAGGCCCAATAAGCAATGCTATTAGGAGGAAAACATTACACATGGATGTCTATAAGTATACGTTACCATATTTACATGCAAAAAATTACAATATATAATACACATAAATTGCAGCTTTGGAAACTAAATAAAAAACACATCACATAAACCCATCAGAAAAATCAAAATGAACACTGCATATTTCAATAAAAGTTTGATGATTGTCAACGACTTCGTTAGAGATATTGCAGACCTACTTGAGGCAGCTCAATCCAAGTTAGATGAAAGTTTCAGCCTTGATGACAAATGGGCTGTTTAGCAGCATCTGAATTTTTAAGAGCTGAATTTTTAAGAGGTCTGAATTTCTAAGAGGGTTTGAATTTCTAAGATCTGAATTTTTAACATGTTGTTTGGTTAGAACATCTGAATTTTTGTGCTGAATGATAAAATGACAATTTTACCCTTCTATATAATTTTTACATCGTTTCCTACATTCAAACACAATAGTTTTTTCTACAAAAGATAACATCATCAAGACATTTGGCAATCAAAATTTGGTAAAACAAGAGAATAAAGACAACTTGCTAGTTGTTATACTATTAAAATAACATACAACAAGTTCTTAAATTACTCACGGTTCTATTAATAAAGTTTCCTGCATCTTCTTCTTTTAAAGTTTCCTGTAAGTAGTTGGATCCAACAAGCTTTTGTCTTGCAATTGGTCTAACAAATTTACAACATCTACACACTTCTGGTGTACTCGCAACATTACCTTATATACGTAGATTCAACATCTATAATACAAGATGACCGATAATCAAACCTATATAGAATGATCATTATGTGCATTAAACAACAAAGAAGAAAAAAATGCAGAGCTTAAGCCATCACCACTTAAAAAGCGCAGAGGTCAAAAAATTGCATAAATCATTGAACTAAAAAATTTGAAATCGCTAAACAGAGTCGTTGTTGTTGTGGATCGTTGCTGCTGTTGATTAGATGAACAATTCACATTGGTAATAGAGTTCTAGGGAAAGGAAAAAAGGAAGAAAAACTCGATACCTACAACCAGAAGAGAGAGTAGATTGAGGTCGATGTCGATGTCACTGCATCTGGTGGCGGAGTCGGGGCGGCGAATTCGGCGGCGGTGACGTTTTAGATCGGAGGAGGCAGACGATTTATTAAAGACCGGAGAGGGAGAAATAATGAGGAGAAGGGGTTGTGTCGATGAGTAGAAAAAAGAAAACCCCTCACGTGTTTGGGCAAACGGTGGCCTGCGAAGGCGGTGGTGCGTGTGTCGGAGTTAGTGCGTGCGACGACAACAGTGGTCCTCTGTGACGTCCGACGGGATGCAGGGACAGGAGAGATGGAGGTGGGTTGCTGCAAAGGGAAGAAGATGATGGCGAGGGTAGGGATTGGAAAAAAAGTAACGCGTGATTTTTTTTTTTTTTCAGATGTGGGCTTCCATCTGATTCGGTCAGATATTTTTTACAACTAAGAGGCAAAATTAAGTGTTAACCAAACGGTCTGAACCTTAAAGATTCAGATGTATCTCTTTTTAATTAAGAGGCATTAAGAGCCAAACAAACAGGGCGAAAGTCCAACTATACATGGCAAATGACGCTGATGATGTTGACGTGCAAACACTACATAACATGTTTGAAATAGCAAAAATCGACAACCAATCCATGCAAGGCAACATTTCTTTCATGTTAGGATCAATCCACAAAAGGATCGGGAAATATAAACGCAGCATGAAGGATACATCTACCAGCTAAAAAGTTCTTTGGTTTTGAGTTCCTAAGTAGTAATAACGTCTGTTGTTTAGTCCTTCGAACATGTATCATTAAATAAATTAAACGTTCTATGCAAATAGAATAGTGTATCGACAGATGTAATGGCTTCCATAGTTATAAATATGTAAACGTTATGTATAAAACAGTACCTACACTAATAGATGAACAAATAAATTTAAATAGACTCAAACAAATATAATTATGAAAATCAATCCAAACCTAAAAAAACGTAAACGACTTACTTCCAACCAGTGGCGGAGGCAATGTAGAAGGAGTGGGGTGTGTGGACTCCACTTAATTTATATTTTTCAATATTAATTTTTTTTAAAGGTGGTCCCCCCTTTGAGTTTAGATGGCACCCACTACTTCCATTGAATACCCAAACCAAGTTTCCTTCTTCAGTTTTTTAATCTATCTTCTTCTTTCTTTTTAACCTAGCCACACACAGCCTCCACCAAATCAGATTCCGACTCTGCCGGAGATCAGAAAGGATATTGTCGCCTGAGTCAGATGCCGACTGCCTGAGTGCGCCTCCGACCTCCGACCTCCGCTTCCCTTGTTCTCTCTCTCTAGCTCGGTAAATCACTACCTTTAAATATACTTTGATTTTATTAGAGGAAATTTATTTTCGTTGGTTTAAAAGAACATATCCGACCTTGCTAAAGTGATGGTGGAAACCAAGATGCATCAGTTCTTTCCTTTGATTTATC